ACCTAATTGTTAGCAATCAAAACCTAAGGTTTATAACAAGGAAAACCTAATTTTAGCAAGCAAAACCTAATTTGTTCTAACCTTCCTAAAGAGCCATGTCAAGTAAAAGACCAAACCGGATTTTGAGTTTCATGTAGGAATATTACTGTGAAACCCACCTAATTTGTAGGTCTCTAACAAAAAGACTCAGCTCAATAGAAAGTAGAACGAAAAAAATCTGTATTTACACACCGCTTTACCTTCTCACAATGGGTGTAATTTGTAATTGATCGATATCACGATAAAATACCCCAACTTTTCAACGTTACTCGGTTTTCAAATTGTATTTCCTAATATCCATGTACTATATGTACTATGTACAATTTATGTAAAATATATTTTTAACATCTTAAAAATAAACACGAGTGAATAACTCTATAGAGTTATTCTTTTCAATTTAAAAATAGAATTCTTATGTTCCAAAGTTTTAAATCACATCTCTGAAATGTTCCTATATAGCTGTATTTTCTAAATTGAATTAAAATTATTTTTTCTAAAAACCAATCCGCAAACATGTAACACCGTAACATATGTAAAAACAATCCGCAAACATATAACGCCGTAACATATGTAAAAACAATCCGCAAACATATAACGCCGTAACATATGTAAAAACAATCCGCAAACATGTAACGCCGTAACATATGTAAAAACAATCCGCAAACATGTAACACCGTAACATATGCAAAAACAATCCGCAAACATGTAACACCGTAACATATGCAAAAACAATCCGCAAACATGTAACGCCTTAACATATGCAAAAACAATCCGCAAACATGTAACGCCGTAACATATGTAAAAAATTGTAATATCTTAATTCACATGTAATTTCGCATAAAATGTATGTTAACATTAAACTATCAGATTTTAAATAAATATCTAGATTTCAAAAAAAAATTCTCTTTTAATCCTTTAAATTCAAGGATTAAAGCAAACCAAACATGAATCCTTACAGTATTCACCCTCCTCGCTTTTTCCTCCCCCTTCCCCCCTAATTCCCCCCCTTCTCCCCCTAATTCTCCCTCTCCTTTCAAATTCCTGAAAGCAGGGAAATATCCCTAACTTCATCACGTGACACCTGAATCTAATATCACCTAAATGCCCCCCCCATTCTTCACCTTTGTATCCCCAAATACATTTCCCCACTTTCACTTCGCTCCTTTTTCTAAAAATTCCCCAGTAAAGATCTCTGTTTCCTCATCTCCTTAAAGCATATGAGGTTTACAAGATTTACTACTTAAATTGTAACAAACCGATTATTTAAATGAAATGCGGATGAAAATTTTAAAATAAAGATTTAACCCATTGACATTTCTGACTTTCCGAGTTTTTATTTTCGGAATTCGTTCATTTTTTACTTTTCCAGAATTGTCTGGTTTAGGTTTTCAGGTACTAATATTCGTCTCAGACTTCGATTTTCTAATTCCTTTATCTTTGCAACCGGGATGGTGAAGTTGTTTCACGCTTAAAACTTTGACGATTTGATCAAAGCATAATTCAAAGTTGAAAATATCAAAGGTTTACGACTTCAGGTTCCAAAGGATACGGATTAGAAAATTTAAGGATCCGTTTCTAGCTTAGGATAGTTATCTTTAGAATCAGTTTCTTTTTCATTCTGACTTAATAATATGACCTACTGGATTGTTTTTAAGTTGTAAATCCTCGAAATTTTTAGGGTTTTTACCTCGCTGATTATTCCAAGATGTGATCTTGAATTAATTACAGGATTGTGTCATGCATTTTTAGGATTTAAACTGAAGGACGAACTTAGAGGGCAACATTTTCAAGAATACATGAAATGTAAAGGTATTGATATAAAATTGTTATTAAGGATTTTTGTACTTCTCTTTTCAAATATAAAGGCTCGACGTATGTAAAAGTACAACTAGACGTATTAAGAGGAGGCTCATCAGTGAAATCTATGATTTCCAGGAGGTTTTGGGCCCCAACGGGTGCTGACAGAAAATAAATGTTATGCCCCCCCTGGACAATTTCCTAAATACGCCCTTGTAAGCAGTAAGAATTTACTTATATATATATATATATATAAAGGGGGGAGGGTAGAAATTCAGGATAGCATTAGTGCGTAAGGTCAGGTATATGCATATATTAGGTCAAGTACATTACCTGGAATATCTGGAATATTCCAGAAGTATAATCACAAATATTCTAATAACGAAACAATTTGTTCAATTTCAAATATTTCTCTCAGAAAACATTTATTACATTAAATTGAAGTTTCTTTAATAAGTGCCTCGTACAAATATAACAGTCAACAATATTTAGAGTTGCATGTACATGTAGTTTTACACAATCATGCTAAAAGCAGTGCTTAGGACCCATTTAATTTGGTCACACCATTTCTTCATAATTTAGAGTTGCAGTACATGCAGGTTTAAACAATCATGCTAAAAAGCAGTGCTTAGGACCTATTTAATTTGGTCACACCATTTCTTCATAATTTACTGATTTTTTAAACAAAAGAAAAATTGGCCAGCTAAAATTTTTAGAACGATTCTAATCATTTCTCTTTAGTCAGAGTAATCCTAAACTAATGTAACATCTTAAAGAGAAAAGTTGCGATAATTTAAAAGGGGGATATTTAAAGGACGAATCATTAAATAGTTTTGAATCATTAATCATGTTTGATGATCATTAAATTCCAGCAGATATTTCAGAAGAAAACCCAAACGGATTTTTAAGGATAACTTAAATTGGCGAATTTTTCCAATTTCACCGAAGATAAACCCTTTAATTTTCAGCTTTGGAATCTTATCAAAGACTACAAAGAATAATGATTTCAATTTTTCAAAACCTTTCCCTTTAAACTATAATTTTGTAAATGATTGGATTCAGCGCCTAATATGAGATAAGTTTACAAAAAGAATATTAGGTTACATTCCGTAGTTTTAAAATCAGTTTCCGTCACAAATAAACGTCAGCATACTAACAGATATATTATACAACACGAATAGAATAAAGTAAAAAATAAAAAATAAATCGTACCGCTCAAAGTATGCAATATTTGTATGTGAAAAATTCTATTATAATTGTATCTTTTTCCATTTTATTACTTCTTTGCACGACCTATATGATAGAAAATATAAGATCTTTCAGAAACTTCTTTATTCTTTCAATTTATTTTTCATCAGACAGTTTTTGATTTAAAAACCAAAGCATTCAATTTGATCGCAAAAATCATTTCAAATATTTTTTTACAACCAAAAAGATTAATTCTAAAAAATATCGAATTTTTGTTTTTGGCTCGAAACCTTTTTAAATATACATAATTCAAATGCAAATATGAATAAAGTATAAATACATGTATTAATTATACACTCCGGATATAAAAATACTAAATATAAAGGAAAACTCGCATTACTTTCTGATACCTATAATTCTAACTGTTTAACTAGTATCCTGTATCAGGCAGTAAGGACGGATTTAAACTGGAATAAAACAATACATAGGACAAGGTATCCAAAAAATATTTGAAAAAATGCAAATGTAGAGCAATACATGACAAATTTTTATCAATTATATGAATCATTAACATTTATAAACGGTAATTTCTATTATATTCAATCTATGGCTATCATTTTGTGAGTTAAATGTATATAAGGATGTATTCACAATTTTTTTAGACACCCGGTTTCAATGATGTAGTTTGCGCAGAATAATTTGACTAAATGTATAAAAGGATGTATTCACAATGTTTTTTGACACCCGGTTTCAATGCTGTAGTCTGCGCAGAATAATTAGACTAAATGTATAAAAGGATGTATTCACAATATTTATAGACACCCGGTTTTAATGCAGTAGTCTGCGCAGAATAATTAGACTAAATGTATAAAAGGATGTATTCACAATATTTATAGACACCCGGTTTTAATGCAGTAGTCTGCGCAGAATAATTAGACTAAATGTATAAAAGGATGTATTCACAATGTTTTAGACACCCGGTTTCAATGCTGTAGTCTGCGCAGAATAATTAGACTAAATGAATGGATGAAATGTTTTCAGGTAGAAACGGATCATTTAAAATAAAAAATAAAAAAATTTTGTAAGATATTTTTTTACTAAAAAAGATTTACAGATTGGGCAATTGGTATTGTAATGCAACCCTCTAACCCTTCACCCACTACTGGTGCACCTCTTCCTCCACCATTCCTTCACCAACTATCTGGTGCACCTCCCCCTCCACCATCCCTTCACCCACTCCTGGTGCACCTCCCCCTCCACCATCCCTTCACCCACTACTGGTGCACCTCCCCCTCCACCATCCCTTCACCCACTACTGGTGCACCTCCCCCTCCACCATCCCTTCACCAACTACTGGTGCACCTCCCCCTCCACCATCCCTTCACCCACTACTGGTGCACCTGTAATTTATATAAAACATATTTCCTTTCATACCTGGACTCTATATTTTTTACTGAAAACACTTGATATTGATTTATAGTTTGAGATTGGAAGAGCACTACAATTATCCCTTTTATCGCAAAAATATTAATAAATCTATTTAAAAGTTAGTTTAAGGGACGTTTTTGGGACATAGTCAATGTAGAGATTTTGAGAACTTTAATTGATTTAGGGAACGTTTGGGACACCTAAAGTTCTGCACTGAGTTCCTGATCCTACATTCTCACTGAGAAGAGCACCAATATCCTTTACATACACTCAGTTCCTGATTCTTGCTTTTGAGTATATACTCCATTTATAGATTCAGTTCCTGGTCCTACCTTCTGACTGAAGGAGTTCCAAAATTTTATATATAAAATATACTCAGTAGCTGATCCAATTTTCTGAATGAGAGAAGTTCCTAAATACATTTCAAATAATTCCTGGTCCCACATCCTGGATGAGGGGAGTTCCAAAACATTTTTTTACACTAATTGTTCCTAATCCTATACCTTCTGACTGAGAAGAGTTTCAAAATCATCGGTTCCTGATCCTACCTTCTGAATGAGAAGAGGAGTTCCAAAATCAGTTCCTCCATGAAGTCTGAATCCCCAGGGAGAGTTCTCAAACCTTTCGGTACAACTTTTCAAAAAAAATCGTGCACAGCGTTCAGCGTACAGCGTACAAAATACTTTTGAGATCATTAATCTTGATCCCAATTAATTGATAATTATTAATTTGAAGGAAAACATCATCATCCCAGGACAACTGTTCTGGGTTTAAGCAGTAATAAAATAACCAAACAAACTGTGGGAAAAAATTAAATCACATCATTTATGTTGTTTCCTGATTTTAATTTTGTACGTATTTTTTATGTTAAGATTTTTATTTTCGTCACATTGATGGGAACTTTGAGAAGAGATTTCTGAAAAAATGAATAAAGTGCAATGTGATGTGCGCCACTTTACACTTGAGATTCGATCATTAAAGACAAGTTTTAAATGAAAGGCCAAAAACAATGTTTCTTTATTTTTTAAGATCTTTCTACACATTCTTTTTTTTAAATTATATTTTCGACAGAATTTTCTAACAATATTAATTTTTAGAGTTCGCAATTTTGAATGTTTTCCTGGAAAGTTTGATGTCCACAATTTGGCTCATTCTATCTGAAAATACTTTGCTCTCTGTTACCACATTAACCTTTTCCAGCAATCCTTGCAATGTCCTTTTCTGATCACCAAGCCTTACATAATATCATAAATTATATTAAATAAATAAATTAAATTCAACAGTGAACTGAACCTTGCAATGTCCGTTTCACAACGGTACCCTTTGAACCTTTGACTGGACGGCGACGAGGACAGCTGGGAAATCTTATAAGAATCTTAAATGAATGTTTCACATCGAAAAAGAGTATTATTATTATTTTCAAAAACAATATGTTTGTTTAGAATATTCAGGATTATCGAGAAAAAAGAATTTAATTGCGTGAAGTTCACGTTTAGTTTCACAATGTCTATAGTCAGAAAACCACAAAATATTCCGCTGTCGAGAGTAACTACAGGGTGTCCCAAAAAACATAGAATTCAGTGACGAATTCGATATCGTCTTTTCAAATAATTCTTCGATTTTGTATAGTGATACCTACTGAGAAAGCTGTAATCTGTAAGAGTTTCGTCTGCTATGTTTACATTTTGTTTGTTTATGTTTTGACTGCATACGGTTGTACTTAGTAAAACAAGAAAATTGCAGTATACAAACAGAGTAAACTTGTCCGTCTTCACTGTTCATCTTGCGGAGACATTATAGACACATCTTTACAGTCTTTTACCCTTTTCATAAAATAAACTCTAGCAGACATAATAATATTATGGCTTTTGAAATTAGGTATTACAATGCTAATTCATAACAAAGACGATATCGAATTCGTCACTGAATTCCCATGTTTTTTGGGACACCCTGTATAATATTAAGGACATTAAATGGTTTGCAGAAACTGAAAAAAAATTCCCCTAAACCCTCAAGGTCCTCATGCTGATAAAGCATGGAATACTAAATATTTTAAAATTCCGTTATTTTGGAAGAAATCCTTATCTTTATAAAGATTAATAATAATAAATTTTCTTATCAAAATTCTAGTTTGTGTTAGAGACAGGCACCTGTACAGTTTAATGCGTTTTTTTCAGTTAAAGGAATGTAAAAATGTAATTTAAAATTCGAAAACTTAAGATACTTGTTCAAGCATTCTTAACTGAAGCTTCTGCATTTATAAAGCCTTTTTTGTGAATGCAAAACAGAAGATTTCAAATAGTTTATATAAATGTAAATTTTATATTTCTTAGTCTACAAAATATGACCGAACGACAAACTCGTTCACGAAACTTTTTATAATTTAGTTTTAGTCATTAAATGTTTAAAAGCTGTGTTAATTCTGACATTTTTCAAGTTTTTTGTTGTTTTAATTATAAATACATCATAGATTAAAGGACAAAGAACTTAGAAGTATCGTGATCAACTCAAATTTAAATTGTCCAATGTTCACATCATTTTTTTAGTTCTACGAAAAGCCCGTGAAATGAAAAAGATGCTATGTCCAACCTATAAGCTTCGATTCAATAAAATGTGTGAAATCATGTCTGTGCTATAATATGTGTATAACAAATTCAAGATTAAATTAAACTTTTAAAGATGTAAAAGTAATGTAGGATAGAAGGAAAGTAATGTAGAATATGGGAAATTTAATGTACAATATAAGGAAAGTATAATGTAAGAATATGGGAAAAGTAATGTAGGATAGAAGGAAAGTAATGTTAGAATATGGGAAATTTAATGTACAATATAAGGAAAGTATAATGTCAGAATATGGGAAATGTAATGTAGGATAGAAGAAGAGTAAAGCAAGAATATTGGAAATTTAATGGAAAGGAATTAATCTTTGCCACAAACTCATTAGTCTTATCTTTATATCTTTGCAACCTGATGGTGCAAACATTTGATATTCCAAAACTTAGATTATTTGATCTAACAGAAATATATAGATCTACGACTTTGCACAGATGTAGGGCTTAGAAAATCAGAGTTTGTAGCAAACACTCAATTCCTATAAGGGATGGGTATTGGGAACATAAAAAAGTTGGTGAGAACGGGGTGGGGGGATCCCCAGTATGTGATTAGGATAGGTACACCTGTGATATAGGTGGGGATTTGACCAGTATATTAAAGGTTCTGGAAGGTGGGGGGGCTAACAGGGATATATAAATATATGGAGAGGGGACTTCCATTCCCCAGTTAATATCTCAAAAGAAAACAGAAGGGGGCAATTTTCCCAATATCCCTCCCCCTCCTCACAGGTAAGGATGATGTCATGAAGCTTGTATCTGATGTTTATCCTATGAGGGAATATAACGTACTAGGCTTTAGTAGTAGTAGGCAAATATTGCCCGGTACACACATAGATAGACATATGGATAGATGAATAGATAGATGGATAGAAAGATAGATTAATAGGTAAATAAAAAGATAGGTGTATGGATAGATGTATCAATAGATGTGTAGATGTAAATAGGTGGATTGATAGAAGGATCGAAGGATAGATAGATGTAGACATAAATAAATAGAAAGAAATATAATTCAGAAGGTTAAAAAAATAGACAAGTGAATAGATAGATTGATAAATTGTTCAGGAAATTATAAGCTTATTATATAGGTAAATAGTTAAAAATGTATAGTGAAAGATTGTTGAATAGATGGGATCGAAGACGATAGATTTAATAGGAGGCAATGGTTTATAGATAATGGATAGATCGAGATTTAGAGTTAAAAAGATCTGCCGATAAATAAATAGATCTATTAGACAGATACATAAAAATAGATGAAATAGATGAAAACTAAATAGATGGGAAGATAGATTGATACAAATATAATTCTCTTCTTTCTCATTCTAGTTCTTTTATTCATTCTCTTCATTATTCTTCCAGTTCTTCTTTTCATTCTCTTCTTAATCCTCCATTTCTATTTGTTCTCTTCATTATCCTTCCAGTTATATTCATCCTATTCTTTCTCATTCCAATTCACCTTTTCATTCTCTTCATTACTCTTCCAGTTCTTCTATCCTTCCAGTTCTTCTATATCCTTCCAGTCTTCTAATCATTCTCTTCACTATTCTTCCAATTCCTCTATTCATTCTCTTCATTCTCCTTCCAGTTCTTCTATTCATTATCCTCCCAGTTCTTCTATTCAATCTTATCATTATCCTTGCAGATCTTCTATTCATTATCCGTCCAGTTCTTTTTTTTATTCTCTTCATTCTCCTTCCAGTTCTTTTGTTCATTCTCTTCATTATCCTTCCAGTTCTATTCATTCGTTTTCTTCCTTTTCCGTCCAGCTCTTCTATTCATTCTCTTATTATCTTTCCAGTTCTTCTATTCATTCTCTTCTTTATCTTTCCATTTCTATTCGTTATCTTAATTATCCTACCAATTCTTTCTCCTTCCAGTTCTTCTATTCATTCTCTTTATTATCCTTCCAGTTTTTCTATTCATTCTCTTTGTTCTCCTTCCAGTTCTTCTATTCATTCTCTTCATTCTCCTTCCAGTTCTTCTATTTATTCTCCTCATTATCCTTCCAGTTCTTCTAATCATTCAATTTTTTCTCCTTCCAGTTCTTCTATTCATTCTATTCATTACCATTAAATTCAACTATCAATCTCTTCATTATCCTTCCACTTTTTCTATACATTCTCTTTATTCTCCTTCCACTTTTTATATTCAATCTCTTTATTCTCCTTCCAGTTCTTCTATTCATTCTCTTCATTTTCCTTCCAGTTCTTCTATTCATTCTCCTCATTATCCTTCCAGTTATTCTATTCATTCTTATCATTATCCTTACAGCTCTATTCTTTTAATTCATTTTCCGTCCAGTTCTTTTGTTCATTCTCTTCATTCTCCTTGCATTTCTTCATCATCCGTCCGACTCTTATATTCATTCTCTTCATTATCCGTCCAGTCCTTCTATTCATTCTCTGCATTATCCTTCCAGTCCTTCTATTCATTCTCTTCATTCTTATCATTATCCTTTCAGTTCTTTTATTCATTCAATTCATTATCAGTCCAGTTCTTCTATTTAATCCTTCCCTTTCTATTCGTTCTTTTCATTATCCTTACAGTTCACCTATACATTTTCTTTATTATCCTTCCAGTTCTTCTATTCATTCTCTCCATTATCCTTCCAGAGCTGAACACTTTAGAATGGATAAACTTTAATCCTGACTTCTTGATCCGAATATCCACTGTGGAAACTTTTCATTTTAGTCCTTAATCCACTCTTTTTCTCTCTCCTTGGATATCCGTTAATTGTTTTCTCCAATGAGAATATTTCTGTTCTCTCATTGGTTGCCCGCTTTTCTCTGATTGGCTGCTACAGTTTCTCAGATGATTAAATATTAATTTGAATTTTATCGTTTTTTTTAAGATGATCTTGCAAGATTATGTTAATCTCCAGATTAAGAAAAAGAGTGGATTAAGCCTTAATCCCGATATCCACCATTCAAAAGTTCCCAGCTCAGGTTCATCTATTCATTTTCTTTATTAAACTTCCAGTTCTTCTATTTATTCTCCTCATTAGCCTTCCAGTTTCTTTCTCCTTTGTTTCCTTCCATTTCTATGTCGTATCAGTTCCCCGTTGCTTTAGTAGTATTTTTCTCTTATATCAATTTGAACTAAATGAATAATTACGTCAATTTTGACATAATGCTCTCAAGAACGGTCAAATACATAATGACGAAATAAAGTTTTTTTCCTTTAAGCACATTTCACAAATTTATACCATCATCTTACGCACCACTCATTCCGCATCTGTTTGAAATCTAGAAAATATTAATGTCTAAGTTGTCCATTTCCAACTCATTAAGTCATGAAAATTAAAAATAATTCTTTGAAATTGACATCAAAACTTGAGTAACGAATCTTAAGATCATACATATCAAAGGAATTGAGTCTTTGTAACAAACTCTGATTTTCTCATACCTAAATTTTTTCCACCTGATTCACCGGATGGTGTAATCCTTTGATATTTCAAACTTAGATTTTTTCATCTAACAGGATGAATTGTTTGAACTATCTAAGGTCTACAGCATTGGATTACAAAAATATAGAGATTAGAAAATCATAGTTTGTGACAAAGACTCAATTCCTTTGTTAACAAAGCAGGATCATCAAACTATCTTTCTTAATTTTTTCACATATTTATAAGCTCAAACCATTCAAAGGTCAGGAATTTTTAAATATAACCTTTTACAGTTCAGATTTGAGTTGAAATTTAGTTTAAATTTGGCCCCTTGGATCTAGATATTTACGGGTCCGGATCCAGACAGTCAAAATCTTCCGGATCCAAATCCTAAGCACTGTCTGGTACAGAACAACGCTAAACGTGATAATTTAACACAATTATTCAATAAATTATTAAGATAGCGGATTAAAATGTATAGATGTGGATTAGACATGAAGTAATAGTTCCCTGAAAGCCTGCTAAAACTTGAAAACGAATGAATAACTTGCAAATCGATCGATTATATTTAAATGCTCGACAGCAACGGTACAAACAATACAATATTCTGTGTCTACAACATTTTAACAGCATTTTAGTTCAATTTTCAGGTTTATATATAAACTCTCCCCTCCCTAGTACGGTCTGCCACGTCCCCGACCTCTTCCGCCTCCTCGGCCACCAGCAGGTCCACCTCGCATCTTTCCTCCGGCTCCACCACCAAACCCAGGTCCTCCCCATCCGGGAGCTCCATATCCACCATACTGGCCGTAGGGATCACCGTATCCGCCTCCATATCCACCATATCCATAGGGATCAGAATATCCACCCCAGCCCATATTTCCGCCCCATCCACCGGCATTTCCTTGATCCTTGGGTGTCACGCGCTTGATCTCAACTGTGTGACCGCCGATTGTGACTTCTCCCTAAAAATACAGTTTTTGTATAACAAATGTTTTATCTAATATTAAAAATGATCTGTTGTATTATGAAAAATTAATCATTTAAAGATAAAATTGGCAATGCGTATAATTAATGTCCTGAATATTAAAATTTTCAGTAATGCTTAAAAATATTTTCTACAAAAATGCGTTAATTTTTAAGTTTTGTCAGGTTAGTCGTTTAAGAATCCTAGTGGGTACTGGGTAGCGTTAAATATAATACTATGGAAATCTAGAATGTTCTTCTTACCATTTTAACTAGTTGTTTAGCTGTATCCTCCCTGGCAAAGGTGATGAAAGCAAAGGTTTTAGGTTCATTATCCTTCATTTTATCAACGGGTCTAACAACCTCAACAACCTGGAATTAAAAAAAATTAACAAGAGCAAAAACATGTTGCGGACAAATAGTTAGATATTGTAGATAATATTTATGCCAATTTTATGTATAGAATGCAGTGCTTAGGATCCGGATAAGTTGGATCCCCAAGATTTTGGCTTCCTGGATCCGGATCTGCAAAAATATTCGGATCCACGGATCCGGATCCAAGAAGAGATAAAATGTCGACCAAAAACTGCAAATGCAACTACTAAAACCCTAATCTGATCTTTGAAAAAACAGAGATTATAAATATTTCCTTATTTCTTAGTGGTTCACCAAGTTTTAGGATAAGAATATGCGAAAAAAAATCGAACAAAAAATTTGAAAATTATTTTTTTGTTAAAAAAATTCAGTATATCAGTAAAGAAATGACCTGGATCCGGATTTAAATTTGGATCCGGACCCATTTTTTCATTTAAATCTGGATCCGCATCAAAATTAAATGGATCCTTATTGCACTGCTAGAAAGGGAAACTAAAAAAAAAAACTAAAATGTACATAAAAGCGTCGGTAGGGATAAAAAAAATACCTCTCCATATTCTCCGAACTGTGTTGTTATATCCTCCTTGGATAGTGCATCTCCTGGTGGTAGTTTACCAACATAGATCTTTCCTTGTCTAGCCTCAGCTTTCTTACAGGTTACTTTCTTGCCCTTAAATAGTTTAAAATCCAATCAAAGATGAACATTATTCTCATTTCTGATTAGAGACGGTTACTTCTGAACTCGACAAAGGTTGCCAAGACAACGTGTCTCTGACTGTGCGCGTCCTACTATTAATCAGATAAGTATCTAACGTGAGACATCTAGCGGCCAAACTATCGTACCCCGAAGTATGTCATTGGGACGGCTCTTATTCATACAAGAAACGTGCTCTGAAACTCCATGTATATAAAAGCCCCCCCCCCCCCGCCCCCAAACACCAAAAGGTTTCAAACCAGAATTCCCCAGATTAAAATTTTCTGAATTTGTCCCACCAAAGTACGTAATTAGGACTGACATTGTCTAACAATCTAGCAATAAAAATACCTTGACAACATGTGCCTCGTTAGCTACAGCAGCCTCTAGAGATGCAGTCTCCTTGAACACGATGAAACAAAACCCTCTGAATAAATATACATTTATTTATATATACTCTAATGTCTGTTGGTTTGTTGATTTGTATCCACTTCAAAGCGGCTGAATGGATTGGGCCAACAATTTTGTGTAGGACCTTCCATGGCTCAAGGATGGTTTATGGAAAAAAGAAAATTTGCAATAAAAAGATTTAGATTTTCGTAATATTAAGTAGTCCTGAAAGAAGTTCGGATTTTCTTGGTTTTTATTTTGAATAATAATGGGATTGCTTTAACATTTTGTTGTTTCGATAAATAATGTAGCTTCAGAATTCAGAAAAAAAAAATTGTAAATTTTTACATCGCTTCAGGCGTAGCTTTCAAGAACATTTTGGTAAATAAAGAGGATGGGGGTGGGGGGGGGGGGGTTAGAAAGGTCTTAATTAACTGTACCTTGATCTTCCAGTGACGGGATCCATCTTCAGGTTTACACTGTCGATCTCTCCGAATGTTGAGAAGTACTCCTTGATATCTGTATCCTTAGCCTCCTGAGGTAGAGCCCCGCAGAATAGTTTACGGTCATCTTCATGTACTTCTGCCATACTGACTTAGTTCCTAGAGTAAATATTGAAGTTAGTAACTTTTCCAGGTTTATGTAGCACTTAGTTTCTTATAAAATAAGCTTGTAAAAAAATGCTGCCAAAAATAGTAAAAAACTGTAAATAAAAAAAATAAGTCCTTGATAATTTTGATGTATTTATCCATTTTTCCTGAAGTTATATTTTAATTTAGAGAAGCTAAGGTGATTTTAACAGCTGTGAACTGACTGTGCATCTGCAGAACTCTTGCTTCAATTGCTCAAAGTAAAATTTTGCAATTTTTCACCACGGTGCAAATTTGATTCCTTCAGTCCTGGGTTTAGAACCCCTGTCAAAAGATTTGAATTAGGATTTAGTATCTCGTCCAAAAGGTTTAGCACTCCCAAAGCCGCGGTGATATCTTTATTTTTAGGTGAAACCCTCGCGTTCTCTTGAAATGTTAAAATAAATGTTGCAGTAGAGAACTCTAAAATGTTGGATTGAAACTCTTCTGAAATCATCTCTTACCCTTCCTCATCCATTCCAGCTCCAGCCGTCTCGGCCAAGCCATGCACCGGCCACCAATTTTGCAAATTTGATTTTGCTATTTCTTAAGCTTGTATAGTTACATTTGCTTTTGGTTGTTGATCTTTCTAATTCTGAGTCCAACATGATTTATTTCTTTTTTAACAAGTTAAAAAAATGTTGTACAATTTATAAATAAAATAAATAAAACCCACAGCTAACGGAATCTGCAAAATAAACAGATTAGTCTAATTTAAAAATATATTAACTAGTCACAGGAAAATATAGGAATTAACATCTCCAACAGAAAATATTGTCTGGTCTGCATAACGGCGTCCTTTACAATAAAAAAGTTAAACTTGCAAGGCAATACGAAGGTTTTTATGGACAATAAAAGCACGTTTTGATTGAACAATACGAGCAAAAAAAAAGTAAATAATAATCATTTTAAATAAGGTTTTAATAAAATACTACTGGTCGCGTCCAAGAAACGATTTCTGGACCTCCATGGTGAAAGTTGGACATGTGGCCGTAGCGCTCGGCCCCCTGGCCTGTTCCAAGCCACGGAGCTCGGCCGGGGGTCCATTAATCGTATATTGGAACGGACCAAAAATTGAAATCTTAATATACTGGAATATCAATTTACATGTTAGAAACAGAAAACAGCTACTTAGACCACAAAATACTAAATTACTAAAGTTATACTAAAAATAAGTTTTAATGACAGAAGATCACTGGATATCTCATTATCAAAGGTTAAAACATTTTCCTGTGACGCCATCGTTTAATTTTATATTTCACTATTTTACAATGCCTTGCTTGAACAATTTGAATTAAAACATGAAATAGAGAAGTTACAATTCACATTGAAAAAACACATAAAATATAATTATTCAGTTTGATTATAATTTTAACTTTAAAGATTACATTTACATTTTCTAATAAACATGTATTTTACGAAGGTTTGTTGACAATGTGTAATTCCATTTACAGAGCATGGATTGCAGAATAAAACATTAAAGAAAATTAAGAAAAACTTTACTCAAACAACGAACTAAACCATTTCTCTTAAAAAACGCGAGAAGAAGTCATAAAATGTATAATACCTGTAGGAAATCTAGGAGTGTGAGGCAAGGAGCAAAGATGGCTGCGGAGGGTAAAGTGCGGTGGCCGGGGCTAGTATAAAGCGTGGAGCTAGTTGGGCGGGGGGAGGGGACTTCGGCTTATGGCCCGGCTTTCAGGGGAAATTTATTCTTACACATTTTAGAAAAGAAAAAATATTTTTGTCTGAAATGTATGTCGATATTACGCCTGGAATTTTTTTTAATTATGACTATTTTTAATTAGCCCTGGTCATTGGGGAGGTAGAAAAGCAAAATGTTTCGATTTTTTCAGGGATACTTTATATAATGATCTAATTTATATTTGAACAAATTTTGAATTATTAACATTTAAAAGCCCCATATTCTAACCCTTTAATTGAAAAATATTAGCATCATTGATCCCTGTCGTCTACCGGTTCTAAAATGACGCATGCGTAAATTTATTGATTTTTATATGTATGACGACATTCAAACCTTCTTCAACATCAAATAATCAATTCTATCGAAGAGATGGTTCTTTTAGCCTTACCCAGCCCGTTACCCGTGGGGGAGGGCACATTTTCTACATTATCTGAGACAAAGCTAGAAGATAATGAAAAATGAAAACAATTTAAGCAAGGAAACAACAACAATATTGGGCGTATACATAGAAACCTAAGGGGGGCACAATTTGAACTGAAAATTCATAACATTTATCTTCTTCGATATCAGACATAAGTAAGATACTTTAAAGGTACACAAATTGACAAATACAGTCCAATTGGCAGGGGCGCAACTAGGGTGGCCGGGCAAGGCCCCCCAGCCTGATCAAGGGGGGCATATGCCCCTCCGTTAAGAAGGCTAGTGGCCCCCCCCCTGTAGGGACCGGGGGGGGGGGTGCAAACACGTCTACCCTGTTTTGCAATCTAGCGATTCATGAATCCTGACCCTAGCATTAAATTTAAGAGCTCTGATCGTAAAATAAAAAAAATAATAATTGAACGTTTAGTTTATTGAGCTTATATAGTTCAATCAGAGGAATGCTTCAAAAACAAGCTGAATTAAGAAGGGTCTCTTGGAAAATTCAGAATAGCTTGATCAAAATTATAGGAATAGCAATATAACAAATTAAAGTTTAAGTTAACCCATTAGTGACGAGAAGGTCAATTTTGACCGGGTGAAGTTTTTTCTTTTAAGTGCTTTTTTTCTTAAACTTAATGTTGTCCTGTCTTTTCCTGCACTTTCCTTAGGATTTCCTGTTTTCAAAACATATTTTATATTTGACGTAACTTCAAAATTAATTGGGTTTTCTATTAAATTTTCAATTTTAAAAAACCCAAAAAAACAAGATTTTGAATTCGGAAAAGAACCAAAAGAACACCCTGTAATTTAGTTTTGAATCTACAAAATTGTCAATTTTTTTGCTAGAAAAAATTTAAAGATATTTTCGGAATCTTCTTTTAAAGATTTAAATACCTAAAACATGAAAAGTAAAGTTTTGAAGATAATTAAATAATTATGAGTTGCAAAAGTTTTTTAGATTTTCATGTTTTACATGGTCACCCTGTACAAAAAAAAGTCAAAAATTTAATTGAATATCGTTTTTTCATGAGTACAATCAAGTTTTGTTTTGACAAGATCCTTCTAAAACAACTTCACAAAAAGTTAATGGTCTCATCACTAATGGGTTAATTTTTTCTTTTGTGCATGGGTAGGGGGCTGAAAACATTAACTACTTAATGATCAAGTAAATTATTGCTTGAATAAGGTGAAGACTTTGTCCTCAAATCTATTCTAAATGAGGTTAAATCTGCAAAATTCTACTCCTTCATAGAGATGATAAAGTTTAGTCTGATAAGTGATTGAGTCATTAATTTTGATCCTTTTCGAAGTTTTCATCATACCCATGGGGCGGACATAAGGATTCTGTAGGGGGGGGGGGGGGGGAAAATTTTTTTTTCCCCCCCCCCCCTAGAAAAATATCATGATGTATATCAAATTATTGGTTTTCATTGGGTTTGATTTGCATTTTCCACTCATTTCTGGGATTTACAAACTCAATCTAATAAAGGCTTCATTACATACCTTTCAGCTTTCACCTTGCTTTATATCCTTCATTATAGTCATTCATTTTACATTAACTACAAAGATCTGTAAAAAAACTGAATTTATTTAATTTTAACTAAACTTTTTGGCAAATATTGACAAAAAGGCAGTAATATAAAAAATAATAGTTTTACTGTAAGAGGAAAAAGATGTTACTTTTTTAAATCTTTAGAAAAGCACTCTGCAAAACTTTGAAAAAATATGGTCATTATACTCATTGTTAAATTTTCTTGTCGTCAATGTAGTATGATAAGATCTTAACGAAATCTAATGTGGAAATGAAATTATTTATATTATTATATATTATTATATTTATATATTACATGCATTTTTTGGTTTTGTGAAAAAATGCGACTTTTTTGACAAGAAAAATGTTCAAGTGCAATTAATAAAGTTAACATTGATTTACTGTCAAAAAAGTCGCATATTTTCACAAAAAGCGCGCGAACGCGCACTTTTGCTCAGATTCCTTCAAAACCAAAAAATGCATGTAATATACATAATTCTGAGTTTGCATGCAAAAAATCAGCCTCCTACGACAATTCTAAGTTATGTTTAACCACTGTTTANTTGTGCCCCCCCCCCTTTCGTTTATAAGTGAAAATATGATTTTTTAATGATGCTGTAATTCTTGATTTAGTTAGCTGTGATGGAGTTAAGTGATAAATTTATAAATTTATAAAGTTAAAAAGTTAAAGTTAGTTTTTTGAGCTAAGGAATAATTTTTAGACTCTGTAAAGTTAGTAACACCCAAAAATGTAGTCTTTTTGATGTATTTTTATGTTGTTAACTGACTTTTTGAAGAAAACAATTCCAGGGGAGGCAAAAAACAGCCAGGGGGGCAAAACAAATCTTGCCCCACCCTGGCTAAAATCCTGTGTTCGCGCCTGTGGACTTACATATAATATGATATCCATGTACAAAAGGAGGGGGTCCAAAAATCGTATTTTAGGAACTTTACTTATAATATATATATTTTTTATCATAACCAGGTCCAGTTGTGTGTAAGTGAACGTTACTGAAGTAACCGAAGTAAAAGTTTACTGACTGTTTAGGCATCTGCAAAATGCCTCAAAAACTTTTACTATCATGAAAATAGTCGTCTTTACACAAGTGCAGACTAATCAATAGGGAATGTATTTTTTTTTTTTTTTTTGAAGGGAAGGGGTCAAGGCAACTGGAACTGTTACTTGTAGAGGCAGCAAATGGATTCTAGGAGGGGGAAATAACCCCAATAACCCCCCTTATGGCCGCCACTGATCATACCCATATCTTGGCTTTGAAAAGTTCCTAGCTACGGGCCTGCCCCGACCCCAGAATAAATGATATAATTTCTCCTTGACACTCAATTCTTAAATGCCGTTACTTCTTATTATTATGCATGAATAACTCGACTCACGTCAATAGAACATTGCATGTAATATTGAAATCTGATATGTTTTCCATCATAACTTCTCTTAAGTAAGAGCTATTGAGAATAACAAAATAAGAAAATTGTTTTATATTTCTAATATATAACCGGTTAAGTTTTCTTTTCTCCTACTAGTGAGCGTAAAATCAAAACTAGAGAAGCTGTTAAGCCACAATGTTGATGTAAATTAAATTTGACAATTATTTTCAATATCATTTTTCTTGTTATTATCATTATTATTATTACTATTATTATTAATGTCATTTTTATTATCATTATTACTTCTGTCTTTATTGGTACACCCTGTGTACAATGTAGAATATTTATAGTAAATGTAAAATAATTGATATAAGGCAGATAGAAACCATATGATTATCCTCGAACAAGTGAATATAATTGATTGCAAAGAATTGTGCAATAAACAGAAGTTTCTTGGCGTAAAGAAGCAAAAACAATTAATCAGCCTTAAACCAACAAACGAATTATCTGGATTTTCTCTTTGGTCATAAATATATTATGGACTAATTGCTTTAGTCAATTAAAATAGGTATATTTCTAATCGATATATCATTGCAACCTGATTTCATTTTACACCTTTCATAATTCAAACAATAAATTCGATTAGAACTAAAAGTCTAAGTTAGAAATATCAGACGTTCATATGCATCATTAGGTACCAAAGGTAAAATATTAACCCTATCCCCACTGGGGTACTTGAAAACCAGGATACGCTGGGGGGGGGTCAATTTGACCCCCCCCTCTAAATCCCATGTTTTATGTCCAAATATGACAAATGATACATCATTAGAAAGCTCTTGTGCTCTACTTTTAGAATCTGCAAAAAAATTTGCAAATTTGCGAAAATTGAATTTTTTATCGCAAAATCCAGTTTTATAGTAAAAATGTTTGCAAAAAAAAATTTGTCCAAAAAATGACAAATTATACATTTTTGAAAAGCCCTTGACCATGCCATTTCAAATATGCAAAAATTTTTGCAAAATTTTAAATAACCTGATTTTTAATCAAGAAAAACTAAAAATGTGCAAATTTCCTTTGACAGGTTGTTTGCAAAAAATTTGCAATTTTTTTTTCGCAAAACTTGTGCAATCCGTTTCCTTATGTCATAGGCTTTCCAAAAAGCTAAATTTTATCAAAATCTGACAAGTGAAAGTGGGTCAAAACAAAGATTTAGTTTGCTACAGGCAAAAGCAGTCATTCAGGCAGTGTGCCTGAGGACTCAGGCAGTTAGTATTAAAGCCCGGTTTTAGGCCTAAAGGGAGGGCTTTGGGTATGTAAGAAAAGTCAGAAAATTTCAACAGCCTCAGACCAATACTTTTTGAGTTATGTAAAAAAAACTACAGGGGGGGGTCAAATTGACCCCCCCCCAGCGGGAATAGGGTTAAAAAATCAGTGCTTGTGGCAAGTGTTTGGTTCCAGTTTAATCATGTAAATACGGCTTTTTGAGGACTTGCATTTAAACCTTCAATCACATACATGCATCTGTACATAGAGTGTCTCACTGAACATGAATAGAAAGAAAGAATAATGCGACAGTTAATGTCGGAAGTTGGATGTTGCATTTTCAGACACCAATTGGAACTTGTTTTTTACATTTTTAGACAACTCTCAGAATATTTCTGTTGTTTTTTAGGCAACCCCCAAATAATTCTGCTATTTTTTTAAAAATTAAGAAAAAAATTTCTCTTTTGCAACAGGGTGGACTTCTTGCCCCCCTCCCCTACAGAGGGGCAAGCCTTCTTAAGGGAGGCCCATGCCCCCCCCCCTTAATCAGGCTAGGGGGGCCTTGCCCCTCCCCCCCCCCACTAGTTGCGCGCCTGGTTAGAATCTATTAAAATATTTTGATATTATATTATTGATATTATATATTTTGATATATATATATATAACTACCTAATCTAATATATATACATATATATATTAGATATATTATATAAAGTTTGTATATGTTTTTTTTGCTATCTTTACGTCTCCTATACGTAACCTATGTAGTATGTACACTGTGATGTTTTAAATGTACGCAATATTTCAGGGATTACAGAATCCATTTAAGGATGAATATATGAACTGGAAAAGTAAATTTAAATTGAATTGATATCATTATAAATCAATGCAAGCTACAATTGTTACAATGTTTGTAAATGAAAAGATTATCAGAATATTGGGCTTGTCCGTTCGATGGTATCGACCTAGGTTACAAAAATATTCAGACGTAACGGTTTCAAGACGGAGAAATATAAAAATCCCCCGGGTTTAAAATAAGAATTAGTTGCATCTAGTTCGTTCCGCGCTCCGCTAGAATTAGCGCTCCACAGAGCAAGCAAACTTCTTTACATTAAACATGATTTTACGCTCCATGTTTTTCTATTAATGGTTGACATCATGGAAGGAACTGCAAAAATTTAATTAAACATGCATAAGGGATGGAAGAAGGGTTGGGGCTGTAATCCTAGGGAGAAAAATTAGCATGAAAAACCGTAATTAAAAAAAAATATAAAAGTGATTATGTTAAAGGATGAATCATGTTCAACCTCCAAAGTGTTAACCGAATTTTGGTCTTTAATTGTATATTGCGGAATATTTTTTGTTTCATAAAGTATACAGAGATTTTTAATGTGGTCCGTCTCATGCATACCCCCTTTCCATTTTAGAGAACAGTAACACTCTCTTTAAATATAAAGTTTGAGAACGTTTAATTGTTTCTTGTCAAAAGAAATAAGATAAATCTGTTTTGAAGAAACTTAAAGATAGATTATCATCTTATTATTGTCAAATTGCAGAAACTGTTGTGGTTGATTTTAATATTTAAGGACGCTACATAAAGAAATTACGTCCATGGTTTTCTAATCATTTTATCTTTGCAACCCAATACCGTAGACCTTAGATATTTCAATTATGAATTCTATGTTTGAAATATCAAAAGTTTATACTATTTTAAGAATTTGAGTTTGTGAAGAAGAATTAATTCCTTTCCTGGCATAAATTAGGAATTTGACAAGATGATATATCATTATGCTCTATCATTAAATACAGAAACGGAAGCAATTACATAGTTTTCTTTTTTTCTTTGAAATTAAACTGTCCATCATTGTATATATATATATTGTCCATCTTCTTTTATATATATATATATCCATGTACATGTAAATTGTAAATATAAATAGATTTTAGTCTCATAGTATATTTATTGTAAGTAATCTATAGTCTGAACGTAAAGATATTTACCGCCTTTTGATCAACATTACCAACCTATCATTCCCCCAAGAGAGGGAGGTTAAGTTAGTTAACGTCCCTTGGTAAAGTTAAACAAATTAACCACCCGCTCTGCACAGTTTAAAAATTCGAGCATTTTCATCTCAAAAGAAGATAAAACTATTTTTTTTGGAAATTGAAAATTTTACTTTACCACGGGTTCCCTCGAACAATTGTTGATGTTGAGTGGTAGATATCTGGGTTGTTGATGTTGAAAGGTAGATATCTGGGTTGTTGATTTTGAAAGGTAGATATCTGGGATATTGGTGTTGAAAGGTAGATATCTAGGTTGTTGATGTTGAAAGGTAGATATCTGGGTTGTTGATGTTGAAAGGTAGATATCTGGGTTGTTGATATTGAGAGGTAGATATCTGTGTTGTTGGTGTTGAAAGGTAGATATCTAGGTTGTTGATATTGAATGGTAGATATCTGGGTTGTTGGTATTGAAAGGTAGATATCTGGGTTGTTGATATTGAGAGGTAGATATCTGGGTTGTTGGTGTTGATAGGTATATATCTAGGTTGTTGATGTTGAAAGGTAGATATTTGGGTTGTCGATGTTAAAAGGTATATATCTAGGTTGTTGAAGTTGAATGGTAGATATCTGGGTTGTTGGTGTGGAAAGGTAGATATCTGGGTTGTTGAGGTTAAATGGTAGATATCTGGGTTGTTTATGTTGAAAGGTAGATATCTGGGTTGTTGGTGTTGAAAGGTAGATATCTGGGTTGTTGATGTTGAAAGGTAGATATCTGGATGTTAAAAGGTAGATATCTGGGATGTTGGTGTTGAAAGGTAGATATCAGGGTTGTCGATGTTGAAAAGTGGATATCTGGGATGTTAGTGTTGAAAGGTAAATATCTGGGTTGTTGATGTTGAAAGGTAGATATCTAGGTTGATGATGTTGAAAGGTAGATATCTGGGTTGTTGATGTTGAAAAGTAGCTATCTGATTTTCTAATTCCTATAACTTAGCAACCCGTTTTCCTAGACCTTTGATTTTCCAAACTATTAATTCTGGTAGATAGTCTAAGTTTGAAACATCAAAGGATTACACCATCAGGTTCCAAAAATAAAGGGGTTATAAAATGTAGGTTTGTTTCAACATTTGTAACCCTTGTTTTTTAAAATGCCACCAAAGATTTTTAATCTGTATCTAAATTTAATTTTTTTTATCCCCAAACGTTTTATAAATACAACTAACTTTAAAATTTACAGCCCTATCTTAAAAAAATGCCCCTTATTTTATTTAGCTAATGCTAAAATAATTTAAAAGTTTTGCCCCTAGCAAAAAAAACCTTAGTTTAAAAAATGCCCCATATATTTTAAAGATGCCCTTAAACAAATAAATTTGACCCCAAATAAAGATTTAAGATTTCCCAAACACAAAATTGACCAAACAAGCCTCTCAAAAATAAAATTTGCTCTAAAAATGAACATTTCAATTTTCCCCCAACTAAAAAAACTGCCAACCCCAAACAAAATTTGCCCCTGAAATATAGTTTGAGATTTTTCCCACACAAATTTGCCCCAAACTGAATAAACGATCCCAAATATAAAATCTTCCCCCAAAAAATCCTGAGTTTGTAAGGTAGTTTTTTCATGGTTGCATATAATACACATTTTTCTTGCCCCCCACCCTAAAAATGTTTAGGGGCGTGACAAATCATTGCCCTATGCCCCCCCCCCCCCTAGCTTAAGGTCTAGTTGCGCGCCTGAAGGGGTTGCAATCTGCTACGTGAACTCCCAAGTACGTATATTTGGGAGAAATAATCAATATTGAAATAGGAAACAAGGATATCTTCCTAGAATTATTGCTAAGACTATTAAAGGTACAATTTTAAATGGTGCGAGAAACTATTAGAACAGAGGGTCATTTTAAAATAACGTCTTGTTTAAGGAGGGTTATTTAAAACTTTTAAAGAATTGGACCTAAACAATACTCTTTTTAAAAAGATACTGAATTGTTACAGTTTACAATTAAATAAAAACTATTTTTTTCTGTTCATTCCTCTGAGTTCAGTCATAAAATCTCTGATTATTTAGATTCTCGTACTTCAAGTAAACTTCTCCCGAGGTCGCAAACCTTCTCTAGAACTCTAACTTTTATATGGTAAAGTTCATGTCCAGGATGAATAAAATGTTCTCAGGCAGGTTTGTATGGAGATTTCTAATGTAACCAATATGTCCTTCAATCTTTCATTTAAAGATCTTGTTGTCTGTCCTATATATTGTAGTTTACACTGCTCACATGTAATACAGTAAACTACATTTTTGGTCTTACAGTTGAAAGTTCCATTAATCTCAATCTTCTTGCTGGTATAAGAGGATTGTATATTTAGGGACAAGTTGGGCAATTTAAACCTCAAGGTTTCATACCAGGTATAAGCCTCTTTGGCCTCATTCTAGGAGGATCAGGAATTCTGGCTCGGATGAGTTTATCCCTGAGATTAGGAGGTCTCCTATAGGTAACCATAGGAGGATTTTGAAAAACCTCCTTCATCCAAGGATCCTGGACCATGGTTCTCCAATGTTTCTGTATGATGGAGGAGATACAAGGTAGCTGGGGATTAAATGAAATAGAGATTATAACTCAATCTGGTTTCTCCTTTTTCTCCACTTTTTTTTAAGCAACTTCTATAAGTATAGCTTTAGCTCGGACTATAGCAGAGTCAACAATTGAAAAATTGTAATCCCTGCTGAGAAGAAATTCCCTCAGTTTTGAAAAATTGTGCATCCCTAATCTGTGGGTTTTCTGTAGAGATTCTGTGATTATCTTCAATGTACAGTTTTGTGTCAAGGAATGGAATACTTTTTGTTCTGTGGCACCAGCAGACTTAGGGCTGGGCACGTTCCGACTTTTTTGAAATCGTTCCGTTCCGTTCTAGAACGAGGGCCTTCAGCTAAATCGTTCCGTTCTCTAATCGTTCCAATATTTTTAAGAACGCGTTCTAAGCGTTCGTTTTTTTTTCGGAACGATGGGATCGTTCTTGATCGTTCCGTTCGTTCTCGGCAAAGAACGATCGTTCCACTGTTTGAAAAAAAAATTTGGGGGGCCGGGGGCATTTTTTTTTAAAAATTGGGGGCATTTTTTTCAAATTGGGGGCAATGGGGGCAAAGCTGTTAGTGGAATTTGAAAATGTTTTTTTAATTGGGGGCATTTCTTTTTAAGTTGGGGGCAAAAAATTATTTTGGGATCGAGAAAATCAACTATATGGACCCCTGCATTAATGTTCTTACCTGGGTTTAAAATTTCTAAAATTAAGTGGGTTAGCTTTTGTTGGAAAAATTCCAGACAATATGCTTGGATCCAGACAATGCTGGTGTTCCAAGCTAGTATACATATCTGCATTTTTCAGATTTGGATTAGGCTGTTAAAAATGAAATTAAAAGTGAGTATCAAGATTCCTTTTACTTTTTAAATAGATTTATTGATAAAGATTATGTATAGACAACTTTATATTAAATTTTACCTTACAATCCTGTATAAAAAGCTAAACAATGGATGTTATCATCAAGCATGGTGTAACTCTATGTAACTTATTTCCTTGTATCATTATATCTTTGCATTCTTAGATCCTTGAATCCTTGTATCCTTGTATCCTTGTATTATTATATCCTTGCATTCTTATATCCTTGTATCCTTGTATCGTTGTATCCTTATATTCTTATCCTTATATTCTTATATCCTTAAATACCTTCATATCCTTGTATCCTTACATCCTTTTATACTTATGTCCTTATAGTATATTTATATCCTTGTATATCCTTGTATCCTTGTATCCTTGTATCCTAGTGTATCCTAGTGTATCCTTGTATCCTTGTATCCTTGTATCCTTGTATCCTTGTATCCTTGTATCCTTGTATCCTTGTATCCTTGTATCCTTGTATATCCTTGTATCCTTGAATCCTTGTATCCTTGTATCCTTGTATCCTTGTATCCTTGTATCCTTGTACCCTTGTATCCTTGTATATCCTTGTATCCTTGTGTCCTTGTATCCTTGTATCCTTGTATTGGTATCCTTGTACCCTTGTACTTCTGAACCCTTGTTTCCTTGGTTTTTTTTGTGAGGAAATCTAAGTCTCACACAGAAAAATATAAGAATTTTAATGTTTTTTCTTATTTTATGATATTCTAGAATATTGGTAGAGTGACAGTTCTTCTTCTGGTTCAACTCAGCCTCTGCAGAGGACTTAATGTGTAAGTTTTTTCATAGTTATTTTCCTGAGAAAACCAGACTTTATTGATTAGCTGTTTTTATCTTTATTTTGGATCCCGCTTTAGAATATTTCAAAAGAAGAATTTGCATTACAGTGAATGGAATCCAAACAAACAGACAGACAGACAAACATAGATGTCTACTTTATATCTATATATAAATTTGGCTTGTCTGTTTTTTTTGTTTGTCTGTTTGTATCCAATAAACGTCAAAACGGCTGAACCGAACGGGCACAAATTTTTTGTGGGACATCTAGGGACCCCAGGGAAGGTTTATGAATGATTGAAATTTTAAAAATTTGTGTTTAAAAGTTTTTTATTTTTGTAAAATTTTGAAAATGCGCGAAAAAATATTATGAAATCCGCAAACTTTTTTTGTTTTTGTTTTATACTGTACAAAGAGAAGATGCTCACAGAAAAAGCCACAATTAAAAGTTTAAATAGAAGATGGGCGCGAAGCGCCCTAAAAGCCTAGAAAGAAGGGCGCGAAGCGCCCTGAATTTCTAGTACAGATATATTAGGAAAACAGGAAGCTATAGAAAACAGGAAAATAGAGAAATTATGAAAAATAAAGAAAACAGGAGAATTAAGATTGAAGTACAAGAAACAAGTGAGATTAGAAAGATTAGGCAGCGTAATGTTCTAAAACAGAAAAGATGCAGAAAATAGGAATATGAAAGAAAAGAGATGAAGGCAACTGCAGAGAAGTATTAAAAAATAAGTGAGTTTACATAAATAGAAACATCCCAAAATCAGAAACAAGAGAAATACAGAAAGAATTCATTACTCAGGCTAGACAGGGATTAATACAGTGCAGATAAACAGGAACATACGGAAAACATAACTATTTAGAAGAAAGGGAATATTAAGAAATTCGAGAGTTTCTAAAAGAAAAAAAGAAAGATTGTAATTCTACAGGAACAGAAAAAAGATACAGAGAGTCCCAAAACTTGTTGAATAAGAAATGCCAATAACACTGCAGAATCGATAATAACACACCTACTTAAGTGTTCTTAATTTAAATCCTTGACGAAGCACATTTGATCAAAATACAATTGCCATACGATCACGTATAAAACTGCAAAGAAAATTCAAAGCAAAATTTCAATTGGTACTTTCTGATATCAATAACATGCTATATTTAATAACAACCACGGTCCGAAATTGAAGATTAGATTAGTAGATAGTTTTTATGTTGTGATGTGGAAATAATATATCTAAAGGAACTGAGTTTTTGCCGCAAACTCAAATTTTCTAATAATTTAAAATAGCATAGTTTTACACCCACAAGGGTTTAACCAGTTTGTCACATGATCTGACGGCAAGATATGATCTGTTTCCCCTCCCATTTTCTCCCCATCATGCCCCCCCTCCCCCCTATGACCTAACTCCTCTATAGCTGTGCCATACACATCTTTATTTTATTTTCGGAAAAGCCCCCCCCCCCCATCCATTACCTAACCTGGGGGTCAGTGATCTCAAAATTCAAAAGAAGATATGCCAATCTAAGATTAGAATACTTATTGGCATTTTAAGTCAGATTATCAGGCTTCAATTTCTTGATTTTAAACCATCTTGAATTCTGATTTTAACCTGCATGAATATACTATATACTAAGAAAACAATCGCTATATCTCTTTCTAACTAGCGTACGTCTGTGGACTCAAACTAGTATAATTAAAATGTTGAGCCCATTTGGACTCACAGATTCTTCTAACCGAATTCATCATAAAATTAGAATTTGTGTCGAGGTTCAGTTCCGATTTATACATTCGTATTCGATATAACTCCCCCCTCCCCAAAGACCAAAACTCTCATTAAGTGACTCAAAAAATTACTACCAGGCTTCGCGCCACGGCTTTGCAATCAATTTTAGGATTTTACCTTCGCGAACCGGCAATTTTTCATCGTGTTCCAAAAACACAAAGGAATTGAGTCTTTGCTTCAAACTCTGTTTTTTAAATCTCTAATCTGTGCATTTTAGCCATACACACTTTTTCATTTTACTACCAGCAATTGATGTACCCTGGGGCCCTATCGGTTCAGATGTTTTGACGTGGATAAAACAAATCAAAAAACAGACAAGCTTCCATATTTGATCTCTTCTTTGCTCTCATTCATTATCTCTCCTCTGCTCCTATTAATTCTCTATTCTCTGCTCCCATCTATTTCTCTCCTCTGCTCCCATCTATTTTCTCTCCTCTGTTCCCATCTATTTTCTCTCCTCTGCTACCGATATATTATCTCTCCTCTGCTCCCAATCTATTCTCTCTCCTCTGCTCCCAATCTATTCTCTCTCCTCTGCTCCCAATCTATTCTCTCTCCGCTGCTCCAAATCTATTCTCTCTCCTCTGCTCCCATCTATACTCTCTCCGCTGCTCCAAATCTATTCTCTCTCCTCTGCTCCAATCTATATTCTCTACTCTGCTCCCAATCTATTCTCTCTCCTCTGCTCCCATCTATTCTCTCTCCGCTGCTCCAAATCTACTCTCTCTCCTCTGCTCCCATCTATTCTCTCTTCTCTGCTCCCATCTATACTCTCTCCTCTGCCCCCATCTATTCTCTCTTTTCTGCTTCCATCTATATTCTCTCCTCTGCACCCATCTATATTCTCTTCTCTGCTCCCATCTATTCTTTTTCCTCTGCTCCCACGAAAACACTTAATGTCTTGAATTTGTACATTATTTAAATATTAGAAAAGTAGAAGGGGGTATGATTGATTTAACACAGGTTTTATTTTATAATCATAAATTATACACTAAACATCATTAGGAACATACATAAAACATATTATTTTGTTTACAGTAAACAAATGATACTGTACAGAAATCTTAAAGGTACTGTAGACGTAAAATTACATGTTACTCTTTATTTTTGGGTGTTATGTCCGATTAACAACGGTAACCTGAAAAAAAACTTTGTCGGATAAAGAAGGTGCCCGATACATCAATCATTTTCTTTCTTAATGACTCGCACATTTATATGCTTTAGAAAGAAAACGGACGAAATTGTCAAAATTAAACACTTTTAATGCTAGTAAATCAACAATCTCTCTCGGATTTTTGATCAGATAAGGGGTTGAAAGGGTAGTTGTCAGGTGTTTGCGCTGCAAATTTTAATTTGGTTCTTTTTTAGATACTTAGGCCGGAATTCAGAAAAAAATAAAATTCAATAAATAATTTGAAGTTATTTGACAGTGTTTAGTTACATTAGATAAGGCTTGTAAGCGCACTAATCGTACCTTGTTTTCTCACAGATCCATCTAAATGAATTCTTGGCGCTTATAATTCAAGTAAAAACTCCTCTGCTCGGCTCTACTCGTCATACTCACTGTAATCAATATTTTGGTTGGTTTTGTTCAGATTTCATCTCTCATCTGTCTTGTGTAACTGTTAGACTAGAACAGATTGAGTAGAGGTTTAGAGGAAGATGAATCTTACAACCTTATCAATCTTAAACAAGCTCTTTCATTTTATACAAATTATTAAAAAGAAAAAATGTGGATTTCCCCTTTTTTGCTCCTCTCACCCCTGAGACCCATCTCGCCGCTACCGGCCGCCAGTAAATATGATTTCGGAGTTTTCTTCATAAAGTGATAATCGTTGAAACTCAAATAAATTTGCAAAAATGAATTTGAAATTTGTCTAAAAATTCTAAAGTCAACTAATAAAAGCAAGAAATCTGAAAACTTTTACTATTCTAAACTGAAGGACCGAACAAGGCTTGCAGATAAATCAGCAACATAAACTTTGAAGGTTTAACATCAGAAATGATCTCCTAAAAGTTTGTAAACCAAGTGACTTCAATAAAACATAACACACCATCGTATCTAATTTCAAAAGTTTTCTTTTTATTAGTACTAGAGTGCTGTTGTCAAGTTGTAGGCAAGAAAGAATTGATTTCCTCTTGAGTGAGAACATTTGTGTTTTGAATCTCTGTATCAAGCATTAGTCTCTATCTTATACAAATCTACGGATTAATTAAATTTCTCCTGGATATCCCGTAATGGTATATACTCTGCGCTCTGCAGGAACAACTTTAATTTGAGGGATTAAGCATTAATCTCCATCTTATACAAATCTACGGATTAATTAAATTTCTCCCGGATATCCCGTAATGGTATATACTCTGCGCCATCCAAAAACAACTTTAATTTGAGGGATCAAGCATTAGTCCCCAATTAACATCGAAAATCGGGCAAATTTTAACATTCGAATTACGACATTTTACATTATTAAGAGAAAATAATCAGTCAAATGGGATGTATGAAGCAAAACTATATTACAGTGGTCGTTATATATATCAATACAATGAAGACAGCTTTCGATTTCAAATTTTGATTTTTACCAAGCTTCTAAACAGTATGGATTCACACATACATGGAAACAAAGAGAGCTTTTCAAATAAAAAGCTTCTGTAAACTTGGAATTTGAAAAAAGCTTGTTATAAATCAAAACTTAAACAGAAAAGTCGTCTTCATAGTATTGATATAATCGCCTATATACAAATGTATTTTATATTTTCTTCATTTTAGTATTCCCGAGGATGGATATGAAGAACTTCGGAATCTGCTAAATCGTTTAGGTATTTTTCTTAATTAAAGTTCATAATTTGCAAACTGGAAAAATCCAAGATGACTAGAGGCTTATATTGTGTGTATATGTTATGGGAAAGGATATGGTGGGAGGGGGATATGGAGGCAATGCAAACTATACGTATATATCTACATAAATATAGTAGTTTCAAGGATAATTTGAGTAATCGATTTTTTTTTTTGATTTATTACATTTCCAACCAGAGAAGTGCAATGGCTTTAGTAAAATATTACCCTTTGTTTCGTCAATTTTCTCTTCAACAACTTTCATATTTTGGTTAATTTACAATACATATTTATACCCTTGTAACAAATTTTTAAAATGAAGAAGAAAATTGTTTACAATCATAATATACATGGATGAAAAATAAAATGTTCAATGGTTGATATTAGGGTTTTCAATTTCCAACTGGTTCCTTAAAGGCCTTACAAAGCTTATCCTGAAGCTGTTAAGAAACATTGAAAAATACCAAATTTTTGAAAATTAAGAGCGGAACATGACTCTATAGATGTCACACAGAGCTAGTTGTGAGATGATTAAAAGATAAGCTGTATTCAAATAGTTTAGGGTGCACCTTGTATCCAAACAGTTTAGGGTGCACCTTGTATCCAAAAANTTAATACTATATGATACTAGAACACAGTATTTAGTTTTATTTATAAAATACGTTTTTGGACACCTTGTATATATATGGTTGATATGATTAGTACCACTAATGATCACACGTGTTATAAAAAGATGGTGATGAACAAAATGGTGGGCCAGTTGTAGAATCGAACGAGATTCAAAATAAGTATTTTTATTTATAAAAAAATGGAAGAAAATTTTTTCCTTTAGATTGTGTCTCTGAAGTTTAAATAAATTTCTAACAATGTGTGCATTGTACAATGCAGGGAACCAGAATAAATGGAATTTGTGTCATCTTTCTACCATTAAATATCAATAAGTTTTTAAATTTGCCCAGAACATTTTGAAATAGCGACATTTTGAGTAAATTAAATATCAAAGACGACATTTATTCCTCATATTTCTGATTCCTTCTCTACTTGTAAACACTTTTTTGGTATTCATGATTCATAAAGTTTATTCGATTTAAATATTAGAATCAAGAACCAGAACTCTGGAGGCTAGAGTAGAGTACCTAGAACAGGAGTTGAACTCACTCGATCAAATCACAAGGGAACAGAATTCCAGCGTTAAGATCACCAGGACGGATACACCGGTCGTTGAAATCTCTAGGCTTGAGAGGTTGGAGCAGAGGTTTGAGATTATGGAGGAGATCTTGGCTCAACCTGATGGGAAACAGGTTAGATCAATTAAGGGCGGCTTATTTTATTTAAATGTATTACCCTTCGATCCAATCTCACTCATTTCTTTTAATTATCATCAGAAGCTGTTAATCTAAAATCTCTCTATGAGAGATGAGCGCATGCAATTGCAATAAAACTGGTAAGCGTGGTCTTAATTGCTTCAAACTGTAGATTAGGGCTGCATAGTTTGTCTTAAATAAGCAGTAAAAATTCATATTATGGAGAAGGTCAAATACAATCGTTTTTAATTTTAGGACTAGAAAATGAATATATCTTACACTGGAAAGGAACGTTTAGCAAAAAAGATACACATTATCTATATTATCTATTATATCTACAAACATACAGTGTGTCCAAAAAATTGTATTATTTTTTTAAGCTTTTTAAATAGACTCAAAAATATGCTTTGTTAGTAGTTTTTAATTTTAAAATAGGTTGCTTTTGTTTATTTTATGTTTTCAAATGCTTCTGTTTGGTGTTTAACTAAATAATTATATATTTGGACATTTTCCATTCCATAATTAATACTATATGATACTAGAACACAGTATTTAGTTTTATTTATAAAATACGTTTTTGGACACCTTGTATATATATGGTTGATATGATTAGTACCACTAATGATCACACGTGTTATAAAAAGATGGTGATGAACAAAATGGTGTGCCAGTTGTAGAATCGAACGATTTTTTTTGCGAGGCCTGAGATTCAAACTTAAGTACTTTTTTTTATAAAAAATGGAAGAACATTTTTTCTTTAGATTGTGTCTCGATCTGCTGTTTCAACAAAAGTGTGCATTGTACAATGCAGGGAACCAGAATAAATGGAATTTGTGTCGTTTTNGGGGGGGGGGGTGTTAGGTGGTAATGCATAGATTAAATATTTAATCTTTGTGAAAATAATAATTAATGATAGAGCCCAGAAAGATCATTTGAGAAGGATTTTCTAGACTTAAGTTATAAAAATTAATATCTCTGATAGATGAATTAAAAAGACACTTAAATTAAGGATGTTAAGTACGATGAACTACAAAAAGGAACTAGAACCGGGAAACAATTTCTCTTTTCCTTCTTCCCTGCATCCAGTTCAACTGCATCATCTTCTACATCATGCTCATGCACATCAGAGATACAGCAGCTTAATGACGTTATCAAGTAAAATAATATTATTATTCTGGTTTTGAATTTGGTGATGATATTATTGTTGGTAATGATGTTGTTTTTGCTGTTGATGTTGTTGTTGCTGATGATGTTGTTGTTGACCGGCAATGATGTTGTTGTTGGCAATGATGATGTAGGATTTGATAATGATTTTATTAAGTTGATGATAGTATTGACGTTGGTGATGATGTGGTATTTGTTGATGATGTTGTTGATAATGATGGTATGAATGCTGACATTGTTATTGTCGATTATCTATTCTTTTTTAATGTGAATGGTTTTGTTTTTTATTGATATTCTTTGGATTAGTTCGAAATTTTCAATTCAACAAGTTTTATTTCAGTTTTGTATCAGCTAGGTCTAAACCAGTACAGGTCCTAATTTTTTAACATATTTCTTTTCATTATTTATTAAATTTCTATATTACATATCATTTGCTAAACTATATTTTGAATATACATTACATACACGATGTAAAAGTAATAGTGAATTATTTAGAAATTGTAAAATCGGAACAAAAATCTATACGCTATTTGACTTTTAATTTCATAAAAGGAAAAAAACTTTTTACTCTTTTAAAGCGGTATCGTGTATGTACTTAGTGACACCATTTAACTGTTTTTGGTAAAATCTTTCATTTTTATACTTTATTAAACCTAAAATCTAATTCATGAAAACTTTTCTTTGAAGGGTGGTGTAGCTGGAGGTTATGAAATCTTTGATGAGGCTCAATTTCAATATAGTGAGGTAAGATAATTTTTCATTCATAGTTATTATGTTTCAAATGGTTTTATTACAAATAAAAAATAGGATTAATATTGTATAAATATTTCAGACTTTTCTAGAAATCGTAATTTAGAATGCATTTAAAAGTTCTTAATTAAAAGCATTTTCATTTAGCCTTATTTTTGGCCGTTATTGATATTGGTATTGGTATTGATAATGGTATTAGTAATAACAAAGATATTGATATTTATTTTAATACTTTTTATCGATATTGAAGTTAAAATTGATATTGATATTGATATTGGTATTGGTATTGATATTGATTTTGGTATTGATATCAATATTGATATTGATATTGATATTGATATTGATATTGATATTGATATTGATATTGATATAAATATTGATATTGATATTGATATTAGTATTGGTATTGGTATTGGTATTGATATTGATATTAGTATTGGTATTGGTATTGGTATTGATATTGGTATTAGTATTAGTATTAGTATTGGTATTGGTATTGGTATTGGTAATGATATTGGTATTGATATTGGTATTGATATTAGTATTAGTATTAGTATTGGTATAAGAATTAATTTGGTATTAATATTAGAACAGAAAATGTTTAACAAACTATGAATCAAACTTTTTAGATATTTGCGAATATAACGAACCTATACAGTAAGGTTCAGGCCAACAGAGCGGATATAGATACTAAATGCAGCAAAAAGAAATGTGATATGGTGAGAACTGTAAAATAATTAACATAAATTGATCTTCATCAATTTTGACCTTTAATCAATGTTAAAATGTCTTCTCAAGCCCAATCTTATTTTCACGAATACTGGTTTTAAAGGGACTGCTTTAATAATCCTCCGATTAAAGGGACTGCTTTAATATTCCTCCAATTAAAGGGACTGCTTTAATAATCCTCCAATTAAAGAGTCTGCTTTAATAATCCTCCAATTAAAGAGACTGATTTAATAATCCTCCAATTAAAGGGACTGCTTTAGAAATCCTCCGATTAAAGGGACTACTTTAATATTCCTCCAATTAAAGAGAGACATGCCCTATACACAACGATGAAGCCTGGATCTTTTCAATAATTCGGAAGCTAAATTCTTCATGGTTTCTGCTGTAAAAAAAGTTCAAGATAATTCTGCAGATAAACTACAGTTAAAGGGAACATTTAAAATAATACTTGAGGCCGAATTTAAAGAATTTGAGCCACGGTTTAAATTTGAGCCGCGGCTCAAATATGGTTGGTTCCACTTTAAATCGTATTAAATCTTCGGTTTTGGGGGGATTTGAGACGCGGGGCTCATATTCATTATATTCGGCCTTTATTCAGACAAAGTATACCGTTGTGAATCGGACATGCCACTCTATCGATGGAGGGTCACTTCAAATTACGTTTACAGTCCCTTTTGTGATATCTATGAGCACCTATTTCTAAATTGTATATTGTTTAACAAATGTGTATTTTTCTAAGATTTATGAGCATAAAAAGTAGTATTTAAATACCTATTAAATCTCAAATCCGAACCAGAGGCAATTTTTAGAAAAAGTAAACACATGTGTGTATTAGATACTTAATTTAACCAACCGCAATTGTGGTAATTTCTTTGTCATTATTCAAAAATAAGTATCTATGCATGAAACAATAAACAGTTATGTATATATGTCTGTATAATGTATCTACCCAAACACATGCAATAAAATTGCAGGGTGTCTCAAAGAATGCCTTATTATACAGTAAGACTCAATAAACTGTGGAATAGGAAGACTTATTATTTTAATCAGTTTAATGAACAAAAAATGCAGTGTACCCTGATCCATTGCACTTAACAAATTAATTATTTTGCCACTAATCCAAACTTTTTACTTTAAAACAAATTCAAAGAATATTATTGATGTGTCGTCTTCCTATTTTTTCACAGTTTTATTTTTACCATTTTACAGTTTACTTTAAAACATCCCGTGGCCGAATTTAATGAATTTGAGCGGCGGTTTAAATTCCATCTCCGGTTTCTTATTGTGGTTTGCATGATATTAATTATATATTGACACATGAAACCATGCGTTTAATTATTTACCTGGTTAAACGAAAAGAAACATTAGATTACAAAAAATAGGATAAATGTTTTTAACAATATCTAGGTTTTGAATCTAGTAACAAGCTTCTTTAAAACATTAAACTGATATATTATAATTCTTTGCTTGTCTGTACGTCAATCTAACGTAAAAAAACAGCTTTTGTAGCACCCTGATTTGTTTCTAAGGGGACTTTATACGTAATTTGTTCAAATGACCCCCTAGGGATGTTAACGTTTTTCATTTTTTTGAAAAACGATCGTTTCGGTCTGAAAACGACGACGAAAAATGGAAAACAAAACGATCGTTTTTAAAATTGATCGTATTTTTTAAAAGCTCGTTTTTAAAAAATGGTCGTTTTTAAAACGATCGTTTTCAAAAACGATCGTTTTTTAAAAAGGTCGTTTTTCAAAACGATCATTTTTATCAAAATCGTCGTTTCGTAAACGACTACCCTTCGTTAAGTTTTTCCCAAAACGACCGTTTTTAAAATTAGTCCTTTCGTTAACGATCGTTAACGACAACCCTTCGTTAACGATCTTTAACAAGGGCCATTCGTTAACGATCGTTAACATAATTGTTAATAAAATTTATATTTAAAAAAAACGATAATTTTTAAAAAACAATCGTATAAAAAACGGTCGCAAATAGTTTTATAAAAGCAATCGTTATTCGTTTTCTAAAATTTCAAAAGGAGAGGGTCGTCTTTAAAAACGATAGTTTTTTTCCAAAAACGAAACGATCGTTTCAAAAAACGATTGAAAACGAAACAAAAAACGATCGTTTAACGTTTTAACAACCCTACCCCCATGCCATATTCATGTTAACCTACTCTTTACGCCATTATTTCACCCACAGTAAAGAAGATATTGCCGTTGTTCTGTCCTAAACAAATCTATTTTGATTTTTTTTGTCGCTGCTGCATAAATCCGCTGGATGAAACCAAAATTTTAAGAAGTCGGAAATTCAACTCTTTAAAAGAGGGACAATGGTCACTTAAAATAACGTTGACAGTGCTTTTCTGAAGAAAATAATTTGTTTAGATATTGAACAAGGCAAAGAAGGTGAACCAAATGGTAAAGTTCCTCTCCACCATGAACATCACTTACTTAGAGACCGTCGTGAACATGCTCAGGAACACAAACTTTAATCATTATTTCATTTCTAATTTAGAAAGTAAAACCTGGAAGCAAATAAATCTAAAATTTCTCTAAAACGATCAATTAAGTAAAGAAAATTGCGAAAAGGGAAATCCCCCCCCCCCTAGTGTTGTTTAATATCAATCTTATTTTTAAAATATGACTATGACATTTTCATTTCAAAAGAATAGTGATTTTTGTAATTCTTTTGTTAAAAGCTTTTGATATATAATAACTTTCAATAATTAGCAGATTAATTTAAAATCTTTCCGTCTACGAATTTTAAATGTAATTATATTACTAATTGTTTATTGTTTGTGCGTACTGCAGTACAAGTACTGCCACTGCTACATTAACCAACCTGGACGCATGTTTGAAGGATCCCACCTCTGCTACATGTACTGCTGCTTATGGGTGAGTAAAACCAAGAATGATATATTTCTTTATATTATTGGTGTACTGTAGTTTCGGGGACAAATGTAAACAAAACTAAGCTAGATCCGGGCTGGGATTATTTACATTCCTACCAGATATTGTTTATTGACTGCTCATATGCTGATAGGCTAAGCAGGCATATATTGTTCCGGTCATGCTACAGTTCCATGAAAGATTTTTTGACTGCCATCTAACGGCCACTTTTTGCATATAATACACATTCAGGGGTTAAGTTTTACAACTTCTAAAGAAATACTCCAATTTTTTAATATGAATTATAAAATTTTTGAATTTAGTCTATTTTTGAAGATTCTGTATTTCATATTCAGAGGATCCTTAAATATCCTTGAATACATGGATGCCTGCTGGTCGTGTACAGTGCTTGTACACAATAGAACATGCTGTAGAAAATCTCTGAGTGAAACCAACAATAGTATTTGTCCATCGGAGACAATTATTTGACAAAGATTTAATCGGAAAATTAGGAAATTATGCGTTTTTGTTTCACTGCCAAAAAAAAAGATCGTTCATTTGGTTCTATTTTTAGTTGGGTCATGCAAATATCTTCTCTCAGAGTTAAAATTTTATATAGTGGAAGAAGATACTAGAATAAATAGTTTTGAAAGTAAAACTTCTCAAAATTTTGTGGTGCCTTTATAATTCCAAAAACGAAAGGAACGAGCGAACGAAGCGAAATAGTTTCATTTTATCCTAAAATTTTCATATCATTGAACTGATTTTATGTTAAATTCAGGGGGGCTGGATCTTAGCTACCTGACCGTGTATATTCACGGGGGTTGGATCTTAGCTACCTGACCGTGTATATTCAGTGGGGCTGGATCTTAGCTACCTGACCGTGTATATTCAGGGGGGCTGGATCTTAGCTACCTGACCATGTATATTCAGGGGGGCTGGATCTTAGCTACCTGACCGTGTATATTCAGGGGGGCTGGATCTTAGCTACCTGACCGTGTATATTCACGGGGGTTGGATCTTAGCTACCTGACCGTGTATATTCAGGGGGGCTGGATCTTAGCTACCTGACCGTGTATATTCAGGGGGGCTGGATCTTAGCTACCTGACCATGTATATTCAGGGGGGCTGGATTTTAGCTACCTGACCGTGTATATTCAGGGGGGCTGGATCTTAGCAAATATGCATTGCGCTTTCGGAGTACAAATGATGGGAAGGTTTTGTATCTTGAATTTTACTCTGTTTTCTCAGAACCGTTGATTAAGGATGAAGCTCTGTAAAAGACTGTAATAGTACGTTTTCCTGTAAAAATGTAATCCTTCACACGAAAAAGGTCTTGAGGATTTTAATAGTTAAATGGAAATAAATTCTCCAAAATAAATATTTTCAGAAATCACCCTGGAGTATTGTAATATACAGATTGATCTTTGGAAGTTAATTGCATGGCCTGAACAATTAGTAAAGATTAACGTACGCATTATCACTCTATATACTATAACCTCGTTGGTTGAACTGTTTATAAAACCACGATGTGGAATTGCCGGATATTGCCGGATAAAATATTGATAATTCCAATTTTTTCAGTACTTGCTATGGTATTTTCAGTACTTGCTGTGGTATTTTCAGTACTTGCTATGGTATTTTCAGTACTTGCTATGGTATTTTCAGTACTTATCTGCAATGATAAGTTGGTTATGTGCCCCAGGTTTAAGTAATTTATTGCTAGTTTCTCCAGATATTTCAAACTCTATTTTGGAATAAGGTAAAATCAAGGTGTCTGAAAAATATATATGAAAATTTATGTTACTATTGCCATAAAAATATATTAGTTATTTTGTTTTTCTTCAGAGACACTTAATTAAGCAACATATTTATTATCAGTTTAAGTTTTTCATAAATTTAAGCCATGGAGAAAACATTTGTAACAGTGTAGGTTTAAATATATTCTATAAAGGGCCGGTTGTCTTATTTCTCAGGGGAATGTGGGATTCACTACGATACCAATAAAACCTTAATCTGGTTAATAAAGTGGAAGATGAAATAGTAAATTCTGGCTTAAGCAGTTTTTAATTCGGAAAATTTCTCCATTGCTGAAGAAGTAACAAGCACGCAAGTAACTTTGCAGAGAAAACAGAAATAAAATGGAGGGTCATTTACAAATTGAAATTACGATTATTTTTCCCCGTCAAACTTAAGATTTTCTGGGACACTCTGTAAATAGAGAGGTTTACGTGAATGATAGCCTAAAGTAATGTAGCTCATATACTGAGCAATGATTAGATAATGAGAGTCCATATATCATTCAACTATCTATTTCTCAATTCTCGTTGGTTACTCCAATTAATGTTCTGGAGTTTGAAACCTAAATTGAGATTACATGAATCCTAATCATTTTCGGGTTAATCACCAATTATTTTTAGGAAGCCCCA